ATTGTCGAGTTAACGAGGTAGTTCGTTTTGCGTCTTAATACAGGTAATTGAGGTGGGCAATTAGAGGCAATGGGATTAAAGGCTCGGGGCAATTACGTCAACAGGGGGGATGTTTACATTGATTGCATCACCTCCGGGTTATATTGTTGAAGAGAGAGAGAGAGAGAGAGAGAGAGAGAGAGAGAGAGAGGGTGTGTGTGTGTGTGTGTGTGTGTGTGTGTGTGTGTGTGTGTGTGTGTGTGTGTGTGTGTGAAGGTTACCCACTGTGAAGGACATTTAACGATGGTGGGGAGAGGGGAGTGGGAGGAGGGAGAGGAGGGAGAGGGGGAGGTGGGGTGATGGAGAGGGGTAAGGAGACCATCAGGTAGTGGTCTGTGGTCAGGTGCAATTAGCTGGGAGGAAGTTGGTCATGTGGTGAGAGAGAAGGGAGATGGGGGGAGAGAAGGGGAGAGAGGGGAGGGAAGGGGAGAGAGGGGAGGGAAGGGGAGAGAGGGGAGGGAAGGGGAGAGAGAGGGGGGGAAGGGAAGGAAAGGAAGGAGGGAGGGAAGGAAGGGAAGGAAGGGAAGGGACACTGTACAGGACCTCCTTCATTTCCTCAACAACAACAAAATGTACTCCACGACGCTCTTAAACAAAAACACAAAAACTTAAAAACCCTAAAAACAAAAACCAAAACCCCTTAAAAAATAACAAAAAAATAAACCCCCCCAAAAATCCTTAAAACGGTAACAGTAAAACCTCTTAAATCAGGGTTACGGTCCACCTAGTGTTCTCTACAGCCACACCTTGTCTCCTTATTTACGGGTCTATTTCTTGGGTAATTGTGTCTACCTATCGCCTCCTCCTCCTCCTTCTATTCCTTCCTTTATTCCTCCTCCTATTCCTTCTTATTCTCCTCCCCTCTTCCTCACTTCTTTTAGTCTTATTCTTTTCTATGCTCCTTTCTCTTCCTACTCCTTTTCATTCCTTTCTATTCCCCTCATTCCTCTTTTCTAGTTACCTTCATTTTTCATTCCTCTTCCTCTTCTATTCCTCTTTCCTTTCTTCCTCCTATTCTTGCATCTACCTCTCCTTATTATCCTCTCTTCTCTTACTCCTCCCTACTCCCCAAAGAGATAGAGAGAGAGAGAGAGAGAGAGAGAGAAAGTGTGTCAGCAGGTCGCCAGTCAGTCAGTCAGTCAGCCATGGTGTTATTGTGATCATTTGAAGCCATAACAGCTGACGGCCCTGACAGGTCTTTTTCTCCTTCCCAGGATGAACTACTTTCCTTGCTCTACAGTAGTTTCCATGACCACGTTCGTCCTCGAGAGAAAATACATCTAGGTAGTCTATTTTTTTTTCCCCAGGATGAATTAGTCTGATTACATCCTGCACTAGTTCCTATGACCGTGTTCGTCCGGGAAAAAACAGTCTCTCTCTTTTTTTTTCTCACAGGATGATCTACTCTTATGACTTTCCACGTTCTATATTCCTTTGACTGTGTTCGTCCTAGAAAAACCCCCGCCAGTTTATTTATTTTATCCTAGGATGAATAACTGATTTGCTCTCATGTCTTTGTTCGTCCTATGAAAAACAATATATCACGCTATGGTTTATTTTACCCTAGGATGAATAACTCTGCTTTGGTCTTATGGCCTTGTTCATCCTAAAGTTAAAAATTTAACCTAGTTTTTTTTTTTCCTAGGATGATTATACCTGTTGTTTTTATGATAATTATCGTCCTATGAGAAAAAAATGGATTTCCTCGCAAACTTTTTCATCCAATAGCCAGCCAGCGTCTGTTATGACGTCATGGATCAGCACAGCTCTCGACCAATCAGAGAGACACATTTGTTTTCGGTGACGTATAATGAAATTTGATAATCTACCACCTACCACAATTAATCTACCACCTACCACAATTAATCTACCATCTACCACAATTAATCTACCTGCCTATATGAGCAGGTGATTACGATAATGATGATAATTAACAGGTAACTAATCCTACCTGTGTTTACTACCGGTCTTAATTATAACCGTGTGAGAGAGAGAGAGAGAGAGAGAGAGAGAGAGAGAGAGAGAGCTATGTGTCAATAATTCCTTCACAGTTTCATTTCCTTCACAGTTCCTTCACACTTCTTTCTCAACACTGAAGCAACACATATTTTTTGGACAACCTTCATCTGTGTTTAGACCTCATGCAGAATCAGTCTTGTGTTGTAGAGGTCAGAGGTCAGTCACATACATAGGTCATAGGTCATTAACCAAGGACTGTGCATGTGGTACTGTATACGTACATGTGTGCGTAAAGTAACCCTCGTGAATTCAGACGCACGTGTAACTTGAACCCAAACTTGTGTGTAAACTTTTGTTCGTCTACACGCAATGAACACACATGACATGAAGACAGATACATACACACATACATACATACATACACACACGTACATACATACATACATACGTACATACATACATACACACATACATACATACATACATACATACCATAACAAAACACACGTGCATACCTATAAATATGCACACGTGTATACCTCTATGTACACACGTTATGCACACATGACAACACCAACAATGAAGACATAATAACCTGACGTACAAAATGGCCGCCATTAGAAGCATTAAGACAATTACAAAGTGAAGCTCTTTGTTCTGCTGCCTGTAATTAATGTCAACAAAGATTTTTACTTATTAATGGAGGAGGAGGAGGAGGAGGAGGAAGAGGGAGGGGGAAAGGAGGAGGAAGAGGAGGAGGAGGGAAAGGAGGAGGAGGAGGGAGGAGGGAGGAGGAGGAGGAGGGAGGGAGGGAGAGGGAGGGGGAGGAGGAGGGGAGGAAGAGGAGAGGAGGAGGAGGAACAGGAGAGGAGGGGAGGAGGAGAGGAGGAGTGGGAGGAGGAGGAGGAGGGAGGAGGAGGGAGAGGGAGGAGAGGAGGAGGGGAGGGGGGAGGGAGGAGGAGGAGGAGGGAGGAGGAGGAGGAGGGGAGGGGGGAGGAGGACAGGGAGAGGAGGAGGAGGAGGAGGAGGAGTGGGAGGAGGGGAGGAGGAGAGGAGAGGAGGAGGGGAGGGGGAGGAGGAGGGAGGAGGAGGAGGAGGAGGAGGAGGAGGGAGGAGGAGGAGGAGGAGGAGGAGGGGGAGGAGGGAGAGGGAGGGGAGGAGGGAGGAGGGGAGGAGGAGGAGGAGGAGGAGGGAGGAGGAGGGAGGAGGAGGAGAGGAGAGGGGGGAGGGAGGGAGGAGGAGGGGAGGAGAGGGAGGAGGAAGAGGGGAGAGAGGAGGGAGGAGGAGGAGGAGGAGGGGGGGAGGGGAGGAGGGAGGAGGAGGGAGGAGAGGGAGGGGAGGAGGAGGAGGAGGAGAGGAGGAGGAGGAGGGAGGAGGGGAGGAGGAGGAGGAGGAGGGAGGAGGAGGGGAGGAGGAAGAGGAGAGGAGGAGGAGGGAGGAGGAGGAGGGAGTGAGGAGGAAGGAGGGAGGAGGAGGGAGGAGGAGGAGGAGGAGGGGAGGAGGAGAGGAGGGAGGAGGAGGAGGAGGAGGAGGAGGAGGAGGAGGAGGAGGGGAGGAGGAGGAGAGAGGAGAAGAGAGGGAGGAGGAGGAGGAGGAGGAAGGGAGGGGGAGGAAGGAGGAGGAGGAGGAGGAGGGAGGAGGAGGAGAGGAGAGGGAAAGGGGAGGATGAGGAGGAAATGAAGAAGAAGAAGAAACACACACACACACACACACACACACACACACACACACACACACACACACACACACACACACTTACAATACCCAACCACATCAACGCCAGGCTAACCTTCGCCAGTGTTCTGCTTCTAATGGCGTTCCTTATAGCGTACCTCTGCGAGTCTTAACACCAAGGCGCCAATATTCACAAGGAGTCGAATCCTATTGGCGAAAATAATTCAATTAACTCTGCACTTGGTTCTAATTCGCCCTCGTTATAACACTACTCGTTCCCTTTGGCCTGGGGAAATGAATCGGATTGGGTAGTCAGGCGCGCGAGGCGAAACAAAAGAACCAATCAACGACCACCTTTTGAAAACTCGGTTGACCAATCAGAAGACGTAACGAAGGGAACCGTTAACGACTCGCCTCATTAACGGTATTTGTGAGATTTTCTACAGTATTTTCGGGGGTTCTGGGGTTAATTTCTGGGCGTATTTCCCTGGTGGTATTTCTGGGGGATTTTTATGGAGGTATTTTCTGGGGACTTTTTCCGGGGGATTTTCCATGGGAGGATTTTCTGGGGATTTTCTCTTGGGGGATTTTCTGGGGGAGTATTTTCTGGGGGAATATTTTCTGGGAGTATTTTCTGGGGGAGGATTTTCTGGGGTTATTTTCTGGAGGTTAGGTTGGTGGATCATTGCCCCGAGAACACCTGGATCTCTGGGGTGATTTACAGGTTGTTTACACCTTACTGGCGGCCTAAAGTTGTCTAAGTTGGATCACCTGTGTCTTACCTATGTCTCTCTCTATCTCTCTCTCCCCTCCTCTCTCCTAACACACATCATCTAATCAACAGGTAACCTCGACTCACCTGTTATCTAATCAACAGGTATCCATCTAATCAACAGGTAACCATATAATCAACAGGTAACCTCGACTCACCTGTTATCTAATCAACAGGTAATCCATGTAATCAACAGGTAACCGTATAATCAACAGGTAACCCTCGACTCACCTGTTATCAACAGGTAACCATATAATCAACAGGTAACCCTCGACTCACCTGTTATCTAATCAACAGGTAATCCTGTAATCAACAGGTAACCTCGACCACCTGTTATCTAATCAACAGGTAACCATATAATCAACAGGTAACCCTCACTCACCTGTTATCTAATCAACAGGTAATCCATGTAATCAACAGGTAACCGTATAATCAACAGGCCCTCGACTCACCTGTTATCTAATCAACAGGTAACATATAATCAACAGGTAACCTCGACTCACCTGTTATCTAATCAACAGGTAACCATATAATCAACAGGTAACCCTCGACTCACCTGTTATGCGCTGTAAACTGGAGTCGGAGCTCATGGTTGGCATCCCTCTTGGCGCGGTGGTGTTGACTCCTCAGGTGGTGAGGGTCGTAGAACACGGGTTCGAAGTGGAGGATGTGCTCGCTCAAGACCAGTCCTGAGGGGGGGGAGGGAGAGAGTTAGCCTGGGGGGTTGTGGTGGGGAGGAGGGAGAGGGAGGGAGGTGGTGGTGAGGAGGGATTAGTGTCAGGCTGTAGAGAGGAGGGAGAGTGGAGACAGAGGGGAGAAAGGGGAGAGACAGAGACAGAAGAGAGAGACAGAGAGAGAGAGAGAGAGAGAGACATAAAAATAATAGAAAAAATATATATATATTCCTCTTAAAAAAGTTATTAAACATCATTCACTTTATGATGATGAATTAAACACAAGTACATGTCCGAGTGTAGGTCATGTCACACCTTAAGAGAGACAGTTACCTCATCTCACATCTCACTTCATATCTCACTTCATATCACAACACCTCACTTCACAACATCTCACTTCACACCTCACTTCATCCCTCACTTTACACCTCACTTTACACCTCACTTACACCTCACTTTACACCTCACTTAACACCCTACTTACACCACTACTTCACAGCTCCCTAAGCGTCTCATATCACTTAAATATCTCACTTACAACAGCTTAATAAAACTTACCTCCACATAAACTTTTTACTCACTAAAAGTTCCTCACTTACGAGGTCTCCCCAAAATCACCTGAGTTTTACCTTAGGTGATTTTTTTTCTCGTAAGTGATAATGCCTAACTAAACTACAACTTAATCCCAATCTAACCTAACCTGACCTGACCTGACCTAACCTAACCTAACCCACAACCTAACTACCTAATCTAACTGACCTGACTAACCTAACCTAATCCTAACCTAACCTGACCTGACCTAACCTAACCCTAACCTAACCTAACCTAATCTAACCTAACCTGACCTAACCTAACCTAACCTACCCGGCCACCCACCCACCCACCCAGCATCAACACCTGCCACCCAAGACCATAACTACAGTACCAATTACCTCTTTAACAACTCCTAACTACCCATCACGCTAACAAGCACCAGCTGTGTCGACCCTCGTTCCGCCCCGCCCATGGACGAAAACATTAGTTATTACAATGTTATTACGCCACACTTACTGTTATTGAAGAACATATTGTGTTATTGAGGTGTTATTGATTGCTATTTGTATGTTATTTAATATTGTTATTGTTATTGTTATTGCTGTTGTTATTGTTATTATTTGTTGTTGTTGTTGTTGTTGTAAATCAGTGAAAAAATGTGCGATATTATAAAACCAGAATTGTATATCCCTTACCAAACAACGAGACAAAATGTAAGTAAAATAAAATCCCATTATATTGTGGGGAAGGGAATAAATTGATACCAGATTATTTTTAGTCCATCCATACGTAAAAATAAAATCAAAATCCAGGACACAAAAATCCCAATAAATTCTATAATAACGAAAACCAAACCAAAATATCTGTTTCATATATAAGTAAAATAAATTCCTGTATATTTTAACCACAAGAAAGACAATTTTATTAGACCCCCCAAAAATAAAATCCCCTTTCATCCTTCACACAAACACAAAAAAACACGTTAACACTCAATTAAAAAAATCCCAATAGTAAAAAAAATTTTATGGACCGTGAAACCAAATCCATTACGTACAGAGCATAAACCAAAATCCCTATCTCACCCACGCATGAAGCCTATAGGGGTGTACTGACGTGTTGATAGGACATGATTGTTTGCTATTTGTTTACATAGAGACATTGTTTACACACACACAAACACTAAAATAAATAATAACATTAATAAAAAAAAATATAATCCAATTTCTTACATTGCATCGAGAGGAAATTCCCCAGATTCAGGAGTTATGATGAAGAATGTAAAATATGGCTTTAATATCAGAGAATTTCCCCCACCATTCTCCCCACCACTACCCCCACAACCCATCCCATCCTTCCACCCACCATCACCCTATCCCACCCCCTCCACCCCCCACCCACACGCACCGCCCACCGCCCACAGCCCACCCTCGCCCGACATAAATATTAACATACTTTGGAATTCTTGTTCACAGATTTTGAGGTTTTATTCTGAAAGTGATTTTTGGGGAAAATTGATTTTTGTGGTGTTGGTGTTACTCCTTCTCTCCTTCATTATCCTTCCCTCCTTCTCTCCCTCCATCTCCTTCTTGATATTCCTCCTTCCCCTCCTCTCCCTCTCCCTCACCCCCCCCCTCCTTCCTCACCTCACCTCACCCCCTCCTTCCCCCTCACCTCACCCCTCACCCCCACTCCCCTCTCCCCCCTCACCCCTCCTTCCCCTCACCTCCCTCACCCCCCTCCCCCTCACCTCACCCCACCCCTCCCCCCTTACCTCACCACCCCCTCCCCAAAGTTATTTCACCCCAAACTGACAAGACTTAAATACTGGTGAGTTAAAGACTAATGACACCACACACACACACACACACACACACACACACACACACACACACACACACACACACACACACCCACCCCCCACACCCCCACACACACATTCAATTAAAGGTAAAAAACCCTCCATATAACGAACTACACGAGAAGTCCGCTATATAGAGGTATGGCCGCTTCACACTGACCTGATTCCCTTAACAGTGATGTGGGTCAGAGTGATGGCAGTACACCTTGATCTAGATTCACTTTGTATTTTTAATTAAAGTTATTCATGGTAGTAATCCTTTCATAGTGAATTGGGTCATTATACATACATACATACATACATACATACATACATACATACATATATAGACAGATAAATGAATATAAGAAGAGATTGATAGATAGATAGATAGATATCACAAACACACAAACACATACACACACCGACATACAAACACAAACACACACACAAACACACAGACAGTCATCGATTCTTGACCCAAACCGGTTACAACCCGTTCATATAATCTAAAAGAGAATTATAGATGCCAGGAGTCAGAGAGGGAATTATAGGTGAGAGGGAGGGTGGGGAGACAAAGGAGGAGTGGGAGAGACGGAGAGAGGAAAGAGGAAGAGAGGGAGAGAAAGAGAGAGACGGATGTTTCTTGCTCTTCTAGAAATTCCTTGAGATGAGGGTTTCTCCTCCTCTCTCTCTCTCTCTCTCTCTTGTTGTCTCGCTCTACCACCCTATAAATCAACCCGTCTCTGCACCCATCAATGGAATTCGAACCCTTGACCCCTGGGACGCCACACCAGTTCCCTGACCACTACACCACTACCACACCTACACCCCCACCACCACCACACGGTAAAAAACACGTATCATGGCTCGTTTAACACCGTACCTCTCTCTCTCTCTCTCTCTCTCTCTCTCTCTCTCTCTTCTTCTTCTTCTTTCATTCTCTTAAACCTTAATCTAACCTCACTTCACCTAACAACCCAACAACCTAGCACCATCACTAACAACCTACACAACCTTAACCTTTACCCCTAACCTAACAAACCCTAATCTTAACTTACCTAACCTAACCTAACCTAATCTCAACTAAAAAAAAAATGGGTAAAAAAAAAATCGCCAACTCGAACTTTTCATTAAAATCGCCAACTTCCTCAGCGGTTTAGTTCGCCAAATTGACTAAAAATCAAGAGATGAGTCAAAAGATCCGCTAAATTTGGCAATTCAGTTCGTAAAAATATATTCTGTGGAGTCAGTTCATTTGAGGAAAGACTTGGATTCTGAGTGTCTCGTAAGTTAATCTTTCCTTTTAAGTGTATAAAAGAGAACACACTTACTACAATTAAGTTAAGACACAAAAAGACCTTAACTTACATCTTACCTGTTCCCAGTTAAGGTAAAAAGAGGTGATTTTAACGTAAGATAGTTTGAGAATAACCTAACCTAACCTAACCTAACCAACCTAACCTATCTATCTATCCTAACCTAACCTAACTCCTAACCAACCTAACCTCTAACCTAACCTAACCACCTAACCTATCCTATCCTGTCCTATCTAACCTAACCTAACCCTAACCTACCTACCCCTAACCTATCAACCTAACCTCAACCTAACCTAACCTAACCTAACCAAGCTCATAGTATTGTCCGGTCGTGGCGCCGAGCTGGAGCCTTAAGACGGGGATTAAGACTTTAAGTGCAGTTTAAAATCCCAGTAAGATGAGAGAGAAAAATATTAATACCTCACATGTTACCAAGACAACCGGAACACAGCACTCACACACACACACACACACACACACACACACACATATTCGCAACAAATTACAACACTAAATGATTCCAATATTTTCTATTGCGTGAATAATGGATTTATATTTTGAACTCCGGTTTGGATACAGTGAACCCTCCATATAACGGACTTCTCTATATATAATCCGTTGATAATAAACCCTCGATATAACGGATTCTTTATATTTCATAATCCGTTAGATGGGGGTTACTTTTCTAATGAACCCTCCATATAACGGACTTCTCTATATATATTCCGTTATATGGAGGGTTACAAAACTAATAGACACTCGACAGAACGGATTTCCATTTACATAGTTCATTAGAAGGAGATTTCACAAATAACAGACCCTCAATAGTGGAATTTCCTCTCTAGTCCGTTAAATACAGGTTATATAATGGCTTAATCGTTACAATATACCATAATTATAATATACGTTAAAAAACACATCAACTCCATATAACAATATTTTGATTCTCACTTAATAGAAATTATAATCAAAGTTATACACAAATTTTTAAAAGTATTTATTATAGTCCGAGGATTTACAGATTTGGGCGGGAAAAGCAAACAAACTCATTGCCAGAAGCCGCTATAATCCTATTTTTAGAGAATTTTATTAACCCAATTAAGATACTTAAAGCCAGCGTGTTATTTTATGTTCATATTTGGCGGGAAAAACATCAAAACAAAATCGTTGCCTCATATTGCCATTAATCCGGGTTTTTTTTTATTTTAGTCGAGTAATTCCTCTCGCGAATAACGTGTTTAAGTAATCCGATGATTTTTAAAATTTAAAAGGTTTTGTAAATAGATATCCATTTTAAATGTGTTTGTTTGTTTTAGCAGGACTTTAAGTTTTGGCGGGGAAAATAGGTAAACAGACTTACCCACATACTGCCATTCAATTCAAAGTTCCCCAAAAATTCCCCAAAAGTAATCTGACCCAAAAAATTTTATGCTCGTTTGATATATAAAAATAAAAAATAATTCATGTCATCAACTCATTTTAAACACCAGAATTGACGGGAAAACATAAAAACAAACTCAATGCCAAAAACCGCCATATAACTCATATTCCATCTGTGATTTAAACACGTATCAATTAGGGAATCAAATCACCCTGTGAACTCGACAATTATATAGGTAATCCAACCGTTTAATGGCCTTTTGATATAAATTCGAAAATAATCCCATAAACGATTAATAGTCACTTTGGCAGAGTTAGAAATTGGCGGGAAAATATCAAAACAAACTTAATGCCATATACCGCCAGAGTTTCCAATTGTAAACTATTGCTTAATGCCATATCCCTCCACATACTGTCATATCCTTCCACATACTGTCATTTCCCTCCACATACTGCCATATCCCTCCACATACTGCCATATCCCTCCACATATCCCATATCCTCCACATACTGTCATATCCCTCCACATACTGTCATATCCCTCCACATACTGCCATATCCCCATCCCTCCACATACTGCCCATATCCCTCACAGCATATCCTTCCACATACTGCCATATCCCTCCACATACTGTATCCTCCATACTGCCATATCCCTCCACATACTGCCATATCCCTCCACATACTGTCATATCCTCCACATACTGCCATATCCTCCCACATACTGCCATATCCCTCCACATACTGCCATATCCTTCCACATACTGCCATATCCCTCCCACATACTGCCATATCCCTCCACATACTGCCATATCCTTCCCACATACTGCCATATCCCTCCCACTGCCAACCCCATATCCTTCCACATACTGCCATATCCCTCCACATACTGCCATATCCCTCCACATACTGCCATATCCCTCCACATACTGCCAT